TTCTATAATTCGGATTTTTCGTAAGGAATCCGATTCGGTATTGCGTTCACACTCGCTAAGCGAATCCGAATCCCATGTTGAAAATTTCAGGTTTAACTTCCTGTTTTGAACACTCGCGCATGCGCCGCACAGGAAATCTTAAAATACCAACAAAAATTTGTGACGACAAATGCAACTCAGAAGACATTCCAGCATTCTTGAGAAGTATAAGGTGGCAAAATAAGTTTGTTTCCTCATGTTGTAGTGAGTGGTGACCTCCAAATACGTTTGGTGCAATCGCTAAAGTAATAAACAAGCGTTCATAGATATCCGCACTTATCAGCACACATGCGCAGTAAGATCTGTACAGGTGTCGATTCCGGTAAGTTATCCGGATTGCGCTTAGAAATCCACCTCGCTTGCAGGATTTTGAAAATGCGCATTACAAAAATCCTCTTGCGTTCACACTACTGCATTTATTCGAATTGTGACCTAATTTGCAATTTATCCGGATAACTGAGCATAGTGTGAACGGGGTATAAGGCATTTATCAGGATCTACCATAGCAAGGTGGTCTGTGGTTTCAGATTTTGAATGACTTAGTATTTATCATATTTGGAACAATTGTACTATTAGAAACTAACTTGCATGTATAATTGTAGCTGTTATATATTTTGCTATGCCAGTTTTATAATCGATGCTGGCATCTTTCTGTTGCTATGGTAACCATAGATACAGGAGCTCAGTAACAGTTTTTCTTTTTACATAAAAACTGGGGACTGATAATAGTGATAGGAATTTTATCTAAGAGATGTAGAACATGTCGAGTAATATGGCAGCCTATTATATCTGCATCTTGGGTCATTTGAACAACTGAATAGAAAACTTAAGCTGACAATGTAGATTACCATAAATGATTCATGATTTATGATCATATTTATCAGTTCATGAATGTGCTTTCTGCAATAGTCTTTAAATGGAAACTCTTAAAAAAAATAAACTTACTGGTGTGCATTTGGGACTCACTATATGTCGGCATGACTTGTTTGTGTACATGCAGTCAGTTAAAGAGCAGAATCCTTCTTTTCTTTCTAGGTGAAGAAAAAACCTTCTTAATTAGCTTAGTTCCTTTGATGCAACATTTCAGCTGTTGAGTGCTGCAATAAAAATCTACAACAGTAACATTTGGAACATTTTTTCTTTGTTTAAATGATAATAATGAAATGCCCTAATTCTCCAGTCACTTCTCTCATGTCACCTGTTGTGGAAGTTTAGTGCTCATTATTAACATGTAAGCATCAGTCATGGAATCTTTGCATCAGTCATGGAAGCTCCTGTGCATGAAATTTTTAAAGCAATGTTTTTGAGACAGCCATTTGGAAGATGGCCCCAGCTTATTGCTTCTTTGAAAATTATTTCAAACTGCCATTAGTAGCTTTTTGAAAGGAATTACACAAAGGAAATGATGGCACAGTAAAATTTGCACTGATAGAAATGAACATCAATATAAATCCATTTCCTTGAATGCTGTAACATAATGTCAGTGCTTAATTTCCTGTTTTTGCAGTGTAGATGTGTTTAACAGCTGCTTTGCACCAAAGGAAGCAAAATCTACAGCAGAAAAGGTTTAAATTTATAATGCGTGCTGACCTTGAGTTGTTTGTTCCATTTCCAGTTTCCAGAGCACGGATTTTACGGCCTAGCGGACAAGATCTTACTGTTTCAACATGACCCCTACTATCCTAATATCCTGAAACTGATCACGCAAGGACCAGATATAACAGAAGGGGTGCTGGTGGAAGTGGTTCTCTCCTGTAAGTTAAATTTATTTTGTCTCCACTGTCATGAGATTATGTCAAAGAGACCCTTATTCATTTTATCAATAGAAAAAAATTTAAAAATTGAATTTAAGAAGAAAAAACAGTTTTATTAATTGATTATAACTTTTTTTAACTTGCAGCAATAACATGTTATCTTTTTTGTGCATACTATTACTGTATCTCTTAGATGACATCATGGGAAAGAAAAAGAAAAAAAAACAAACTAATAACCTTTACACCTTCAGCATATTATCAATAAGGCCATGCTGATTTAATTTTATGGATGACATCCTCTGGAAATCTAAAAAAAAAACAAATGCATAAGGGCAAATAAAAAAAATGGTTGCTAATTTAAGGTAAAGGAATACATGGCTGGAAACGCACATTGAACCACAGAATACTAAAGAGTCAGCTGTCACTTTCCTTATTATTTCTTTTTAAAATTATTTTATTTATTTATTCTTCTTCTTTTTATTAGTATTATTTTGAGAACAGGCAAAAATTAATGCCTGCAGGGATGTGATCCATGAAATTAAATCGGTGTGGCCTTATAATAAAAAAGTTAACACAAGTCATAAATTTCTAAATCTGTAAATGTTAGAAGTTCACAAGTCCAGACTGCACTACTAACTTTGATATGGCTGCGAAACCAGTGCAGCTGTCTTAACCTTTGTGAGAGCTTGATGAATTATTATAAGCTTGCTCAATTTACCTGCAATATGAAGCAGTGTTTGTTCATTATGACTGCATTCAGTAAAACCTTTGCTAAATCCTGTTTCAATTCAGGAAGTAGACACATGGTTAGCATGCCTTGCTGTATGACACCGCCCAACCCTTATTCTGCTGAACTTGGGGTGGGGGCGGGTGGAGGGGGGGGGGGGGGCACAGGAACTATAAGAACATCTTACCTATCATTTTAGGATAAAGGTTTGGTGTGTCCAAAAACCTACTGTATTCTATAGATTGCAGTTGAGATTAGGCTTCAGGTCAGAAGTAGCCCAAGTATTTTCCTGGGAATCACTGACGGGTGACTGTGTGTTGTCCCAATTCAATTGCCCTGTGATCAAATACTGGCATTTAGATTGTTTACTGAGTAAATTGAAATAAAATTTGATTTTAGGGAAGAAAGGCTAATTTCAGAATCAATATCCGTTGCTTTTCTACTACACACAATTTGATACAGATACAAACATACAAGGCGTTTGGTTTTATTCAGTAAAAATGGAGATGATTGAAGTACAACTGTGAAGGAACTTTCGTGAAAATAGTCTTTAAGTGGTCATGTTGATAAGACGACTTTTAACTAAATCTAGTTTTTTTAATGATATTTTGAACAAAACAGCTCTGAGACTGCAACACAGGAAAAAACAAGCTTAAAATCTTTGAAAAACAATGGTGTCACATGGTTTTTTAGTGACTGTAGGGTACATTTTGGTTTGATAATGAAATATTCCTTTATCTGCATGACAACAAGGGTTCTAATATTATGCCAGTGGGTGGTGAAATGGCTAACAAAATCTTTCTTGTATTTATTGTCTTCATGTCTTGCAACAAGAATTAGCATTGCACAAACTTGCAGTCTTAAATTTAATAATTAGGGGTTTGTGCTTCAGATGGGCTGTTCTTGTTGTAGCCCAAAATTTTGCCAATTTTCTAACAGACCTTATAGAAATACTATGAAATGAACAATTTATTTGTCAGGCAGTCTTGAAACATGCATGGTTTAACTTGGCCTAATTGATATTCTGAGTTGAATGAGTGTCAGTGCCTTGTTCATATTTGCATTATTTACGATAATATTCAGATAATTTATGTATATCATATATCAAAAGAAAATAAAAATTGCCTTTTTTAATGTTCGAAATAGCTCAGTTATGGCAGAAATCGGTTTATATATATATATATATATATGTTAGATGCTATTGAATTGGAGGATAGGAGCCATGAGCTGACGGTGCCTGAATGCTTCTTTTTGTTTTTACGTATGTGTCTTAAGTAGCTGAAAATAAACTGATAATCACTATGGCATAAGGTGGGTTATGCAAAAAATACCATATACCATGCGATAATTGATAATACTTTCGCGCGTCTTAGGTGAGCATAAGAAAAATGCCATCTAATGATGTGTAGGAGTTGGGGGTCAGATGGAAGGGTAGAAGTGTTAATTGTACTTACCAGCCCTGCTTTTAAAATTGCTTGCACTTATGACTCGTTTTGAGGTACTTTTAGCTGACACTGATGTTGTTGTTGCTCATGCAAGATGGCGAAGGCTTCGTTCTGGCTATTCCACAGCTGGCCTTTTCGATGGCCAATGGTCAGTCACTTTACTATTACCATGGGATAAGAGGGCTAAGTTGGCCCTTCTTGCAATTACGTGACCAGCTCAAGATCCTTCTTCCTCCCAATAAATTAATTATACAAACATGATAATAATATTTTATTGTTCGAAATAGCTCAGTTATGCCAGAAATCAGTTTATGCTAAATGCTGTTGGAGGATAAGAGTTGTGAGCTGACCGTGCCTGAATACTTGGTTTGTTTTACATATATGTCTAAAGTAGTAAAAATAAACTGATAATCATTATGGCATTAGGTAGGTTATGCAAAAAATGCTATAACAGGTTTCCTGTTCTCCCACCCTGTTTTGGTAATGATGACAAGGCTATGAGTGTTGTAGATATTTGCTATATTTATTGTACAAAATTTTGCTCAAGGATCAACTTTAGTTCTGTAAGCCAATGCACATTTACTGTATAACTATAAGTTATGTTATTATAAGTAGTCCATACCAAGCACAGTTTAGTTATTGTTAACCACAAGAGATGCCATTGTATGTGGTTTGCCTATCAGAATGTGATTCAAGCATAAGACTAAGAACAGAATGCTAACCACTATATTTACCTAAGGGCCCATTCACAATAAGTTGATCCGCATACTAACAGATCCGTGTATCAAATATGACACCCCCAACTTGAAAGCATTCCGAGATTTAATTGCTCCACCCCTGCTGGGTTGGTGTGTGTGGGAGGCGGGAAGCCATATTTGACACGCGAAGTTGTTAGTCTACAGATTAGCTTCTTGTGAATGCTCTCTAAGTATGTTGGCAGGAAAGGTATATGTCAATTGGATCAAATTATGGTCCTGTATTGACTTTCTTTCTGTATCTTTACAGCGTTACATCCTGCTTTCTCAAAGTGGGCTACTTGCACTGCCAGCTCCATATCATTATTCCATATTTAGCCAAAAAATTTGATGAATTCCTTTTAGGATACCTATAACAGTTTGACTGAACACACAGGGCTCTTTGATAGCCCATGGTTTTTGAAATTTCTTGATTTCTGTCGGGACATGGAAGATATCCGGTTAAAAACAGATCAGTTTAACTGATAGGGTTTTTCAACCGTGAATACATATTAAACTGTAGTTGTCACCACGTGAGTTCATTTATGTGACAAAGCCATATAGATATATATTTTAATATACAAATTTCAACCAATTAGAAAAAAGCTGCCGCATTCCTTTTTACATATGCAAAAGTTATCACTTTTCAGTTATTTCACAGAGAAGCACTTTAAATATTTCATATATCTGATCTGGATGTGACTTGCAATATTAAACAGGGGCTTCCACTGAATTCTTTTAAATGCTGTGCAGATTTCAATTTGCCAGCATTAAGTGAGGACATGAAACATGAGGCTTTAAAGAAGTGAAGCGGCAATAACAGGGTCACGTAACATAACCATATTACGGGAAAATTTTCTTTGGGATTGAATGTACCACAGATCACGAAGCTGGAGGAGTAGTGGAGGTTTTAAAGATTTTTAGTCGTGACTGATTCTACGTATGTAGCAGTGCTACAACTACAGCTATGGAGTTGACAGTGGTGGAGAGCTGGTACAGATGCTACAAGTTTGGTGAGAAACAAATAGTTTCAAGTGTTAAATTTATAAAAAATTGACTTTATAGATTGGCCATCTTCTCTGGTCGTAGAGCGATAAGTAATTTGTTGTTGACTGTCACTTCTTGCTTCCGTAGAGGGATATCTTTGGTTGACATGATATCAGTGACATGGAATGTGTATTGATTTTGAAAAAAAAAAGATATTTTGATGTGTTTTGTGTACAAAGATTGGTGAAACAGCAGTGAAGCTGAGCAATATGAGGTCCTGATGTAAATTTTTCCTCCTATTTAAAAAGATGCTTTCCTTTTAGGAATTTGTGACCATTGATTAAGGGCATGTTAAGCAATAATGGCATTTCATAAAATCAAAATTGCCATGGTGGCTAAGAAGTTGAGATTGTGAAGTTGAGATATGTGATTGCTAATATATTCTAAAGAAAGGTGTCACTGTTGACTGCAGTGATTACCCAGATGATTATACCCATGATGGCATCAAGTGTTGCTCTGTTTTGGCCAGCTTGCCATAAGGCACCTGTTTAAAAACAAAATAGTGGCCATATCTCTGTACAGCCACAGTGTGTCTATATACATATATACGTACATGGCTATCACTTATGTCTGTTGGCGTCAGTACGTGTCAGTGTTGTTGCCACCGTTTACTTTTCATTAGCTCAGTCATGGAGGTTATGTTTCCCTTCCTGTTAGTTAATGGGTTTCTTTGTCTGTGCACAGCATTACACAATAGTCATGGATGAATTTTGATGAAATTATGGATAGGACACAAATGGGCCAAAGAAGAAATGAATAGATTTAGGTGATGTAATTAATTAATTAATTATGTACAGATATCGTGAGATTTTCAGGATAGGTCACAAATGCATTGAGGAAGAAATGATCAGATTTTTTTTTTTTTTGAGTGTGTAAAAATATTCACTTTCCACACGTCAGCATTTTCAAGGTGTGACTGAACTCCCTTGGAGCTGAAGACCTTTTGATAGTTACATTTTCTGAGTGTCCACAGTAACAGTTGTACATCATTCTACTACATATCAGTGGTGATTTTGTTCTTTTAAAATGTTTTATGATATTCAAAATTGACATTAACTCTCTTTTGTGTACATTTCTTTTCCTCTTTATGTCTGTTCATGTGACAGACTTGCTGCCCTGTTTTTAAATTTAGACTCAGTATTCTTGTTCAGATTCTCTGGCTTAGTTTTATACTGAGAAATGGGGTAAAATTAATAGAAAAGAGGAAATACATCCCTGGAACTAATTTGCACAAGTCTCCGATTTTGTTCGTAAATTACACAAATATTTTAATAACAAAAACCTGCACTGACAATTCCGGTCTCAGCTGGAGCAGAATTAATCTTTCATTATACTTGTAAATCTGTGTAATTTTCTGCAGCTTTGCACTGATTTGCTCAGTGTCACATTGTGTTGTTGTCTCCTCAAAGGTGTCTTTAGGGCACGGGGTAACTAGAATCATGCCAATATGGCTGCAACATGTTAAACATTATGTAGTTGGGCTAAAGAAAATACAAAATTTATGCTGGCATTTTATCTTGTTGTCATCATGAAATATATACTGCAAAAACCTCAGATCTTATGTTACTGAATTCACATTTATGTCTTTGCAGAGAAATGCCCGTTTTGATTTGTGTGTGGTAAAACGTAGGGTGAAAGGGGAATATAACAGGTTGGAAGGTGAATGATGTCAGTACAAGTCTCAGGGGCAATCGAACTTAGTTTGTGTAATTGGTTTGGATGCCATGAAGTCTTATGATAGATTTCCTTTAGTTTACTTAGATTGCTAGTTAATCTTGATCACCTTTTGAGGCTGCTGCTTTTGTAAAAGATAATGAACAATGCAGCTTTCTACAAGGTAATCTAGCCCATGACATCTGTATACCCCCATGTCATGTGCCAAGTTGCTGTGATGAAATATTAAATACATGGAGCAGTACTTTGATACCCAGGTTTATACATAATTTTCATTATTTCCAACTTAGGTTTGACCAGATTTTATGCCCCTGCTACTGCTTTAGTGCTTAGAGGGGAACCTCTCCTATACTATTGCCACACAATATGAGCTAGTATGTTTTTCTCAGGGCCAGCACACTGTGACAGGGGGGACCCTCCTGGCACTGAGTACAATATATAGACTATGGTGATTGTGCGAGTATATTGTGAACAAGGGGAGGCGTGTTAGTCTGTTAATCTGATTGCATTCAGCGAGAGTCCCCATGGAGTGAGTGTGTATTATATAGGTCAATTAAATTCATTGTGAATGGTCGCATAGTTTGTCCCTTGTATTGGATATGTTTGATACGAAACTGGGGAATTAACTTATGTATCTACACAATTTGTTTACGTATTTTAACATTGCCCACTGTGTCATTTCAGTTCAAGTCATGGAGGTGATGTATTACAATTGGTATTTTTATTTTAACAGGGTTCACTCTATCATTTCAGCCCAAGTCACTGTAGAGATGATATACTATAATTTGTATATATTTCAACATGGCCCACTGTGTCATTTCAGCTCAAGCCACCATGGAAGAGCTCCAGATTCGTCCCCATGTCCTGTTTGTTCATTCCTACAAGTCACCTCACTTCTGTGACTTCTGTGGAGAGATGCTTTGGGGATTGGTACGCCAAGGACTGAAATGTGATGGTTGGTATCTCAGTATATGCTTTATATGTACCAGACATAAGCTTTTTCTGCGGAAACGTGGAATTCCACGTTTTTTAATTAAATTCTAAGGTGGCCCCCGGACCCCTGGCCGGTTAGGTGTTGAGTCCCATGACAAATTAAAAGTTAGAAATCTAGGCTCATGTTTGATGTACACAGTAGCTATTTCTTTTGATTTCCATAAGATATGATTCTCTTCCTTTTTGATTGAGATAAGCCTTTCTGAAGAAAAGAAAAAGTGTGAATTTCTATTTTATATTTGAAAAAATAAAATGTGGGGTTTTCTGAGGGTTGTGTATGTTCCTATCTTTGATTTCAGACTAAAAATTTCATTTTATGTGATTAACATCAGATTCACATATTTTGGGTTCTGTAATGTTGTTATTTCTGCATTGTGATGTGCATTTTAACAAATAGATTTCTGTGTATTTTGCCTAATTATAGATTTGATTTCTCCAAGTTGATATGTCTTATTGATTCCCATGGAAATTGGATTACCACTGTTCAATATTCCATATGTGAACCTGAATCCCCCAAACCTATTTGAACTTCTTCCAAGGGATTATATACAAATGCACTTTTACTTTGAGAGTGCATTTGACTTACAAAATTTTTTTTACAAATTTCTCCAATTTAAAATGACAATTCAAGTAGATACAAAGACAAATGCAGCACATCATTCATTTTTTATTGGTCATTTGGTATACTGATAATAAAAAAGTGCTGCATAGCATATGCTGGTTAAAATGTATGTCAGTTGACTGAATAACAGCATGTCAAGGTTTTGAGAAAAAGCCCTTATTTATCTTGACAATTTATCCTGTCATATTTGTACAGCATAAACATTTTAATGTTTAAAACTATTGTTTACATATCAAGGCAATAAAAATATTGCAGTTTCCACAAAAGGTTTGGAAAGTCTATACAATTAAGTTGTTTTGATAAATTGTCTATAAATTAATTGTTAAGATACAATTAAATGAGGCGAGCACATTATGATACAAGCATTCATATTAGAGTATGTGAATAATCTTATAGTCTGAGAGACATTTTGTTAATTGAGATAAATTAGGCTTGTTAAAATTTTGGTAAGTTTAAAAAAGAGAATTAAAGTGGATATGAAAGTCTTCATTTTGAAATATATTACCAAACTTAAAACCTATTAGTGTGATGCAACCACCAGAGTTTGAGAAATTGGCTTATATTTTTTCACTTACTCCAGTGACTCCACTTTTACCAGCTTCGGGCAATAATGGGTGTGTGATAGACTAAACTGTGTATAATAAGCCATTTGTTTCCATGCCCCATTTGCCAGGATATTTTTTATTGTCCCGAGTTGTTTATGTCAGTAAATAGAATTGTGATTGCCTAGATTATGGCTGGCAGCAAGGAGACAGCTTGAGAAATGTCAAATAACCCCTTTTTCAAGAGATTATTTGTAAATGTGAGGTTTTTTCAATGTACTGCTTATGAATATTTTACAAAGAAATGTTTTACCTAAAAAGCCTTTTGTACATCATACATGTGAGGTTATTTCAATGCACTGCTTATGAATATTTTACAAAGAAATATTTTACTTAAAAAGCCTTTTTTTTTTTTTAGTTAACCCTTTTCCCACTTTTAGATGTGGTCCATTATGTTTAAGGTTTTATTAGCTGTATGCTTTTAATAAAAAAAGGATTCATTTGCCAATAACGATAGAAAAATTGACTGAAATTCGCCAGTCAATATTTTCCTGATGAAGTCCGCCTGTCAGCAGAGGAAATATTGGCTGGTAAATCTCAGTTAATTTTTCAGTAGGTACTGGCAAATGAATCTTTATTTGTTGAAAAGTCTAGTATACACCTGTAGAGATACGTTACTAAGTTCTATGATAACTGAAATCAATGAGAAGATCATATTGTGCAGCTTCTGGTCACATACATATTTCCTTTATATGGGCAACATTAATGTAATATTGGAAAAGTTATAATAAACATGTAGATGAATAAAATCTGTTACTGGAATTCTTTCTAATTGGCAGTGTTGCATCTCCCTCTTGGAGACTACATTCTGTATATGAATAGATTATACTGAGCTTATTATCCTTAAATTAATTTAGCAGTGCATTATAGAGAAAATTAATAGACTGATTAAAAAAGAAAAACGGCAGTATACCTGTAAAGAGTGGCACTGTTCATAATTGCGTGTAGTGGTTAGAGAATCCTGAAATACGTGATTAGATAGAGCAGTGAGACATGTTTTTCAGATTAGGTGAGATAAATGAGATTTCCTGCTCATGTAGCTCTCAATATGTGTAGGCTTTGCCATTTTAAAATCCCATACTCTAATTGACTCTGTGCTAGGAAAATGTGCATACAATAAACACGCAATATTAAGCTGAGTGGCACAAAGCCTGTTATCATGATATGCTGCACAAATGGGAGGACACTTTGGGGTTGTTCCTAAAATCTTTTGACTTGATCCTCTCAGGGATGTCTGCTCAATCCTCGGATTGATCAGATATAAAATATAATCAAAGCTAAACATTTGTAGTGTGGTGTGTTAGTATTTCTTTTCTTACTTTCTGCTTCAGGTTGGCTGAATCATGCAGCCTACTAACAGCATGCTCATCATATTGATTGCAATATGCTATATGTCATCACCTGAATTAGTATATAATTTTGCATGTATTGTATATATATTTAGGGTTGTTATATAATAGAAGTTAGTTAAGATGGCTAAATTTGGATAGAAGACTATGTAAAGTCAATTTCATGACATAGATGCCATGCCAATTCTGTATTAGTTGTCTTCCAAAAGTATACTTTGTAACCATGGTGAACAGAAACTGGTGGCAACTGCATGTCATAGTGTTGAGCACCATTGGTGAATTTTTATGTACAGACACAGATGTGTNATATCCCCCCCCCTTAATCATGTTGTCTGCCTTCTCATGTAAAGGTGGGTAAACAGATAATCTCATTTATCCAAGTATCCCTTTGGTGAACTAACCGTCATTTTTGTTTCACCGCTACCCCTAACATAATCAGCAACAAGTTTCGAAATTGTTTTTTTTTTTTATTTATTTTATGTATTTATCTGCACTTATCACGTTACTCACCAACACAACAAAATGCAGATAAAATGACATTTTTACTTTTAGAAAAATTGAGAAAATGGTAGCATTTGTTTGATTAAAAAATCTGCATCTGATAACATCTAATAATTAAGGGATACCTCTTAGGTCTGTCTAAGCACATAATCTTGTAATTTAGAACCAATACTTTTTGTTTTTGTTTCATTTTCTGGCTTCTTTCTTATATTCAGTAACATTTTCAAAAAATATACACTGATTAATGCCTCAAATAGATGAATCAAGCATTGTATTTTCTTTCCTGGTAAGGAGGGTATTTGGGCCGCATTGTTTGGATGGAGAACCATGAACATGCATTAACAGACTATTGACTATTGTTTTGTCAGGTCTAATTGCTATTTTTTTTAATTCAGACAAAGAAAATCAGTATTAAGATTGATGTGAAGCATTTTAATGCATGAATATGACTGTTATGTAAATCATCATTTTTCTTATTATCTTTTACTAGGATGTGGACTGAACTTTCACAAGCGTTGTGCCTACAAAATCCCCAATAACTGTTCACGTGATCGTGAGCGGGGTCGAAGAGGATCGGGTACATCAAATAATTCATTTTCTCTCCCGAGGTCACCATCAGAATATTCTGATAAAGAGGTAATTGAATGGACGTTGGATGTTTCAATTAGAGTAATAATTTTTTGTAATGTATGGTGTATTGAAAGAAGCAGAGCCGTTGCACTGAAAGGAAGTACCTGTCTAGGTCTCTTGTGCATTTATCCAATGTTCTGTTATTAATTAAATTATCTCTCTACCAGTAAATCATGCATACAGTAGTACTTGCTAGACAGTGAGTGTTTTTGGTTAATAGATTTGATATTTGATCTAGTTGAAATATTGTGCACTGTTGAAGCACTGTGAACTGAGCATTGGGGAGATGTAATGAGAAAAAAAAGTTCCCTGTCTATCAGTTCTAACTTCCCTTCTGTAGAATGTCATGCAGTGTAGTTGAAAAAAGTGAAAAGCGAATTGATTCAATTTTGTCACCAGAAATTGAAGCCATTTATGAACATAATCCATTTTTACTTGTAATTGACTTTTTGCAGCTCTGGCAGCTGTTGGTCAATCAGAATAAGCTTTAGAATTCAAATGGTTTCAAAGAAAACCCAGTAAATGTAGTTAAGAATGAATTTAGAGATCCTTGAATTGAGTTTTAGGTGCCATAGGTGTGTAGATTGCGTGATTTGTAGAAGCAGCAGCGATAATAGGAAAATATTTGGGTTAGGATGAAGGGATGTTTGTCAAAATTGTATTCAGAGATCTGGAGACGCTTTACTAGGTGATATCTCAATACAGTGGTAACTTCTTTGAGCAAATATTATCTTCTTTGAGCAAATATTATCTACTGACAGTGAGGTTGTATTTCTCTCCAAGTGATTTTGAGATTATTTATCTGTTGGTATGATTACTCTGAGCACATTGATAAAATTTCTTTCAATTGTACATCCAAGATGATAAAATTCTGTTAAAAAATCAGAATGCCCTGTGATTAAAAAAATTGCATCACTGTTGAAATTTTAGGGCTTAGGGCTCCTCCTCAGTGGCAGTCAAACCAGTCTGTCCTCAGCTGAGGGGCGCACCAACAGGTCCAAGTCATGGAGCGGCCGCCCCCTGTGGATGGAGAAAGAGTATGCTGGAAGAATTAAGGTTCCTCACACCTTCATGGTCCACAACTATAAAAAACCCACAGTGTGCCAGTTCTGCAAGAAGCTACTGAAAGGGCTGTTCAAACAAGGACTACAGTGCAAAGGTTGTTTTTGATAATTTTTATTAATTGATTGATTGATTATGATATTGATGATGATATTTGCCATTCATTTATTTATGTTAACATGAAAAGGACTTTTTTATACAGGGGTCTGAATTATTCTGAATTCAAATTTTACTTTTTCTTGATAATTTAAATGCATGCCCCACATCCTCTGTAAAAATCAATACCATCCCTATCTTTTACAAGTTTGATCAGAAACAAGGTGTTGGAAGTCATTAATTTGCACATAAACAAACTCTATAGCCGGCAGCTTCTCTACTTGTTTCCCACTGTTTTAATATATTCTCTGTAATGAAACCAGGGTTGAGTGTAATCATTTGCTTAACAAATGAAAATGACTACAATTTATATCATTAATATTTCTGTAATGTTTTGCTCTTTCTCTGTTCCAGATTGTAAATTTAACTGTCATAAAAAATGTGAGCCACATATTGCAAAAGACTGTCAAGGAGAAATTCCAAGGAATTTATATGGAGGTATTAAGTGGTCAAATATTTTTAAAAGAAATTAAAGCCATCACTTCAATTATTAAGTTATTGTATAGAATAAAGTACAGATTTGAAATGACATATAAAAATCAGACTTCTTGGACCTTGCACAGCCACTTTAAAGAAAATTTGTTTTACTGAGTCTTAACTTGCTTAGAGAGATTCTTCCATTGCAATCCCCCATAAAGAAATCCTTCCTACAGTCCCTGAATTAAGTGGTCATTTCAATGAGAGGAAGGGACAGCACAGACAGATTATATACTAGACAGGTGCAGCTCTTTCCTGGTCTGAATTGTGTAAAAAAACCATCTTGAATACTGCTTAAAAAAATGGAAGTAGATTTTTTTCTCAACACCTGTATTGTGCTTCCTTGAAATGAAATGGCTGCTGTAACTGTATGTGAACTGATGGCAACTGGACCTCACATTGCTGGTATTAAATGATGGTGACTAAATTTAAAGGAGGCAGCTGTGCCTTAGAGATAGGAAAAGAATGGTTGACATTCACAGGAGGAATTATTGATTGCTCCATCATATTAGAATGACACCTTGTGTGTGAGTGGCACTCACACTCTACAGAGTTGATTCAATTGCTGGATGATTCAGTATCTTAGGTTCTTCTGATAGAAAGTACCAAGAAATAAAATGCATTATTCATGTATTTTAAGTTGAACATGTTTAGAACTATAAATAACAATTGTCTATGTGTTTTTTTATGAATGTTGACAAGTGTGCGGACCTGTGTGGCGCGCATACGTGCTCATGTACAAAATGTACAATGATTGCTTAGTGGAGATAATTTTATCAAATTGCACTTTCGTTTTACATACAGTATCTGCAGTTGGGTTTCTTGCATTGTTTGCTAATGTGAATAAATGTATTTATTATTTAGAGGTGTACTTTGAATGTGATGCCTCGGAGGCAGAAAGTGTGATTGAGACGGAGGCATCTGAGCTAGGGGAATCTCTTCTTGATGATGAAGCTTTTCTCGATAGCGAAGACAATGACTATCCGAAGCCACCACTGAGGTGAGAAGTGCATTGATCGCATGTGACCTCCCCTTTGAAATGGAAATACTTTGTGATGTGTTGCATGTCACTCTGCTGTGCAGTGCTGACACGTGATGATTTCATTAATGGTGTCGTTACAGGAGTTCAGTTAAGGCTTGATGTTTTACAGTGTTTTTTTTCTTTTTTTTTGTTATAACTTTCAGGATTTCGCTGACTTTAGCTCTCTTTCCTTCTTACTATTTGTAATTTAAATATATTTACTTTTTAGACAAACAAGAAAAAAATTTATCTTGAATTTTTAGCTTTACATTGCATATTTGAACTGATTTTGTAATATTGATGCAGAGAAAAAAAAATTTCATTTAAAACCAACCACTGGTCTGTTTTCCACTCCTTCAGTCCCACTCAGAGCAGTAACATTCCGTTGATGCGTGTGGTACAGTCGGTGCGCCACACGAAGCGTGCGGGAGCCCAATCAAAGATCTTGCGTGAAGGATGGCTGGTGCATTTCACCAACAGGGACCACACTGTGAGTTGACCCACATTTCACTGTCAGAGCAGTGAAAAATGAGGAGAATGAGAAGATGTATTTAAATGTATTTAAATATGTTAAAAAATAATGACATTTAACTTATTTATTATAAATATGTGATTTTTTAAAAGGTTGGACAAAGTATAAGAAGGACTATATAATATAATTGTTTAATTTAACTTTTAGATATAATTTCAATTTATTGAAATATATTAAGTGGGTTCTTTAAGAGTTATGTGTTAAGTTTTCATCTAACTGTATCATGATTTATTTCATAGCGAAAGCGACATTTTTGGAGACTGGATACCAAAAGTATTACACTCTACTCAAATCCTGAGTCATCTAGATATTACAAGGTAATTCATGTCAAAAATTGCAGTAATACATTCCTTTGCACATTTTAATGAGAGAGGCTTGTGTAATATGTTGTGTACTGTAAGTTTAAATTAACTGTTTTCCTGTCAGTATATCTTTAACGAATATGTATCACACTAGGACTGGGTTCCCATGCCTAGATCAATCTTACAGGATTGATCCATCTCCAAGGGGTTTCTAGCTAAATTGCTTTCAGCTTAAGTGGCTTTGATGTCTATCACCCATACTGAAGCTGACTAATGATAATTAATTACCCTTGGCAGCTTCAGTAGGTGTGACAAACATCTAAGACGCTTAAGTTGATTGTGATTTAGCAAGAATCCCCTTGGAGATTGATCAATCCACAGTTAGTACAATAGGGTCTGAGAATAGTCCCTTGTACACATGGCCATGTGTATCTTTCAGGAGATTCCCCTGGCAGAGATCTTATCCCTGGATCCTGCCAGAGACCCCCAGAGCGTGGATGCCACCAGGGCCCCTCACGTCCTGGAGATCAAGACAGACAGCACAATTTTCTATGTCGGCGAAGACCCCTCCTGCGATGGCAAGGAGTCCATCCTTATGGCCTCCCCGGAGAGTGGAGTCGGACTGGACCTGGCCAAAAACTGGGAAATGGCCATCCGCCAAGCCCTCATGCCGGTCACTCCTCAGTCCAGCAATGCTGGCCAGGCTGGACAAGGTAGGACCTGAGACCCATGGTTTTGTTTTAGTGGTATACTTGTGATGCTGAAACTAATGCCTGACTGTACTATTTTTTGTAACCTATGTATATAAAGAGGTGCTGCTGCCTTGAAAATATTTAATAATTTTTTTAAAAAATCAGGAGTTGTAGAGTAAATCAGCAAATGGGAAATGCTTTTAGTGAGAGGTCCAAATTTTTTTTTAGCATTGATGACTTCAAATAGTTGAGGCCATTTACTATAATTGTAGGTTTATTTTCATTGGATGCTTTGATCACTGATTCAAAGTTTGTAAAGAGGTCTGTTTTTCTTGTGCATGAATGGCATTGTTGCCAAAGCAGAAACTTTTCAACTTGCCGTGATATGCATGCTTTTCTTTCTTGTAGACAAATCAGAATCTGACAAGAAAAATAGCAAAGAAGAATGCAAAAATAATGTTCAAGTGACAAGTCAGTTCTACTTTTGGGTGTTTGAATTTTAGTTTGCCAAATTTTAACTCACCTAGAAATAGTGTTTTAATTACATTATTTGACCTAGCATGTTTACTTAGGAATTGGTTGCAGTGGCCGTCTTTATTAATATTCTTTTTGAGAGAATAGTTTGCAGTGTTGTGTTACTTTGATATGAGCCTGGTTAATTAGTTGAACTCGGTTCTTCTCTTAGACACAATTCACCAAGATTAAAACTACTTTCAAAGTATTATTAATCGGGATTTAAAAAAAAAAAAGGTACTGTCTTTGCAGTGCAGTTTTCAAAGACATTTCCTTGCATGGGAAGGAACTACTAACTGTCTTTTATTCAGTAATTGACAATTGGTTTTGGAACCTGTTTTGACTATTTTACACAGTTTATGGGTTAAAATGTTAATGTCCTCAAGAAAATATGTTCTTTGTCAAACATCTGACACATTTTTTCCCTGGACTGTGATTTACTACCATCACTGTAACACAATGACAGCTCTACAGCCAGGAAATCATGACTTTAATTTCTTTAATTCTTCATTCTTCATGTTATATTATTTGGACAAACTTGGACAATCTTTGATTTCAGCAAGACTGGCTTTTTGAATGATTTCTATCACTAAGTGTAGCTTGTTTCTTAGCAGTAATTATAATGACTCCACTTTGCATCATAATTCCTTTCTACTTAACACTGAGTGTGTGGACTGTGTTACATCCAGGAGTTGATTCATATCACAATTAAAGTACACTTTGATGTTTTAAGCATTTTATCTTATAAATGACAAGTTTTACATTTATGCAGACTTGTATGTTGATTTCTACATAGATGTGAAACTTGTCCTACAGAGCATCATGAATTGGTGTAATTATTTTGGTATCCAATAAGTGTACAGATGTTAACCAAGCATGCAAATTTAATTTTGGTAAACATTTTATGATTATTAAAGAATGAATTTAAGAAATAAGTTGATTGAAAAAAAGTAAAGATGATCTTCATGTTTTAAAATCCTAATGTAAATTGTATAGAGCTGGAAGTAGTGTTAAGAATGTAACTTGTTCTGAGTTTCATGCCCTGGTGTTGTATTATGTTTTCAGATCATCAGTCAGCAGAGGCTGGCAGTGTAGAAGGCAAGGTGGATGTTAGTCAGATGTATGTTATCTACCCAGATGATGTTCTGGGTTCAGGACAGTTTGGTATTGTGTATGGAGGTAAGTAGTATTGAATTAAGGTGATGAAAGGTTTTACAAATTTTGAAGCCTTTTCATTTTCCTATGGGGTGATGGAGGTCGACATTCTGTTCTGACAGTCAATTTCCAGGCTTCAATCCAATCAACAAAGAACACACAATTCTATTATCACAGCTACAAATACTGTTTACCATTTGGTTGCTTAATGCAGGTTGTAGGCACTTGCACCCTCCTCCCCCCCCCCCCCCCCCAAAAAAAAAAATCATATATCATAAATCAAATTTTAAAAAATGAAAGGAAGAAAGAAAAGAAGAAACATCCCTTTCTCATGGTGTAAATTGAAGAAATAATTTTCTTATGATGCCTGCTATTTTGCTGCAGTTGTGATCTGGTGTAATTTGTAGGTGCTGCATTTGCCAGACAAAGATTTGATTATCCTACAGAAACAAGATTTCTCATCCTTTTGTCATTGTTTATCTTGTAAATCTTGAGCAAAAGATCCATTATTGTGCATCAACATGTAGTATAGGTAAGGGGAAAGGGGGGGGGGGTGAAGGAAGTGTAAGGTTGTCTGGGGGGGGGGGGGGGTAGATAGATGGGTTATACAGCATAGCACCTGTATACAATTGAGTGGAGATGTTAGAAATAGTAAATATATTTGTGTTAATGTCATATTCCAGGCAAGTGTAAGAGAGATGCAAGGGAGGTGGCTATTAAAGTTATTGATAAACTGCGTTTCCCTACCAAGCAGGAGGCCCAGCTAAAGAATGAAGTGTCCATCTTGCAGGTAAGTTATATTTTAGTATTAACCTTGGCAGTTTGAACTTTTTTTTTTTTTTTGTAAAATATGAATGGAGCACTGTTGTTGATTGAATGATTAAAACAATCGTTTCTAATTTCAGCCTCTCAGTTCTTCATATAAGTAACATGCTTCAAAATAATGTTGTATTTCAGGATGCAATTATGTGCCATAAATGTTAATCCCAAATTCTTTCAAATAATAAAAACTTTGTTTCATAGCCACATGTGCATATTGAAGTATACTGAAGACAGATTGTAGACATTTTTGACGGTATGTTAATCATTAATATGAGATTTTACTGAGTGTAAATGTTAGTGAGTTCTCTCTGAAATTTTGTTTTTTTTTTAGAACCTTCACCATCCTGGTGTAGTGAATCTAGAACAGATGTATGAGACACCAGATAAGGTTGGTAGAACTTTTTAAAATAGATTGACTCTTACAATAGCATAATTTTGCGGTCTTTTCTACTCGTGTAGGCAAAAATAACAGTAGATTTTCCTATTAGCCCCAGGGCACGTTCTTGCACAATAGATTTTAAGCACATGCATGACGTATTCTACTTTGGTTACAAAAATGCTAATTTTTTTTCCCCTCAAGTTATAAAATTATTTTGCAGGATTTTGCTTTCATTATTTTTCGTCAGTTTGGCAAAAAGGAAATGCTATCCTAAAATTAGGACATAGTTGTACAGTGAAGCTCTCCAAAAATCAGCACTAAAAGTTCTTAGTCCAGTACAAAGAGACCGTGCTTACACATGTATATTTATCGTCACTTTATTTATTTTTGTAACAATGACATTAACACAAACATTCAGAAGCCAGCTCCTAAATGAGAAGACAACTATGTACATGTACCAAACAAATATTTAGTCCTAATAACAGAATTTAATGTTGTGTATGTTGTCTTAACTTCCTTGCAGATCTATGTGGTGATGGAAAAATTGAAGGGAGACATGTTGGAGATGATATTGTCCAGTCCGAAGGGCCGCCTCAGCGAAAGGGTCACCAAATTTCTCATATCACAGGTAATTTGTTGGCTAGCCTGGAGATAAATGGAGGGGGCAGTATCTTTAGTTTATAATTTGTTGGTAAAATATGTTGTCTGAGATAATTGAAATGTTGTGCTATTTCAATGTACATTATTTCATGGCATTCAAGAAAAAATGGCATTTAGTTCTTTTCCTGTCCGCATAGGAATGTAGCTCATTTAAAGAAATTAGAAAAAGAAACACTGTAGGTTAGAGAAGTCCCTATAGGGGTTAAGGCAGTCACCTTTTTTTCTTTGTGCACAAAGACACAGCAGCATTTACCCAAAAAAATAAAATAAAAACATGTTACTTGATAGTGATCAGGTTTCATATTGCAAAACTTTCAAATGTGTAATTTTATTGAGAGTTTTTCAAGGTCACCAATATGTCAGTTTAGATGTGTGTTTCCCAAAGCTACACCCAGCAGCAGTTTCTGCAGACTTAAAACAGCACTGCCACCTTTTACTTTTTTCAAAATTAAATTCCTTATAAGGCTTCAGGTGAAATCTACATGCTCTGTCATGATTGTCTGCCTCCTTGTATTCTTGCCTGCAAACCACACACACAGAGTGTTCCAGGGTTGCTGGAGTATCTGAGAGAGATCCGTGCCTTGTTTTTAATCTGCCGTGGTTTGTTGAGCCGGCATAGCTGACATTTACAATTCTGGGGGTGGCATAGCTCGCTAAGCGAGGTGCACTGGTACTTTTGTGGAGAGTGTTAAGTCTAAAAGAGCTGGCAGGGAGCTCAGGAAGCTTGTCCCCAAGGGAGTCATTGCTTTGGCTGCTAGCACTGCTTTCTCTGCTTGGCCGGTTAAACCGTACGTCTATGAACTTGTGTTTCATGTGCTTTATACTGTTTTTCAGCATCTCCTTATCCAGTTCAGCGCCTTGTAGTTTTATTTGCAAGGAGTCTTTTTCCTGTCTCAAGGTCTTCAGTTTTCCCTTCAAACTTGAAATCCTCTCCTGGAGTTTTTGTTTCTCTGTGCTGTTTTCTTCCATCATTCTCCTGATGCTGCTATGCAGGCTGTACTGCTCATCCAATGGGAAGCCCAAGATTTGCTGGCACATTTCTTCTTCTTCCCTGAGGTTGTCCACCGTCTGGTGGGCACTGGTCAGTTGTGAGTCCAGTGTTTCTATTCTCTTGCTGAGAAAATCGATGTTAATCTGAAGGAGAAGGACATTTTTATCTCCCTCCGACATGTTGTTGTTCATTTCCAAAAGGTCAAGGTCATCACCAGCCTTTCCACGTATGTTTTCCAATTGTTCGTTGATTTCTACAATCTTTGAATCGCGAGTTTGGATTTGACCCTTGAGATTTTCTTGCATTTCTTCAAATTGACCTTCTTGCATTTGGAGTTTTTCTTTCAGAAGCTTTATTTGGGTTTCTTGTTCCTCTCTGGTGTTGTTAAAGTCAGTCACTTCAACGCTCTCTGGTCTTTTGACTGTGGAAGCCAATTCCAGTCTCTCAGTTAGTTCCCCGATTTCTTCATCTTTCTCGGCAATTGCTATTTGCTGGGCTGTGACCCGCTGCTGTAGTTGAGATATCTTCACTTGGTTGTTCTTGTTGACATCTAAACTAGTGTTAAGTTTCTTGTTGAGCTCCTGCACATCCTTCTGGAGTGTCTGGATTTCTACAGTCTGCCAGGCACACTGTTCTTCTTGAGACTCCTTCAAGTTTCTCTCTTCTTGAAGCTCTTCCTTTAACACGAGATTGTTGCTGAGGACTTTCCTCTCCTCCTGGCTGAGCAGTTTGTGTAACCTTTGGAGATGTTTGGTGATGAACTTGTCCACTTTTCTATGGCTGTGATTTGTCGCACCTGAAAGATAGGAGTGTTAGAATTTTTTTTTAATATTCAAATGGAAAACTTTTCAGATAGGGTGACAAAAAATTTTAAGTTGCAAAAATAAGTATTCCTAAATTCTCTTTTGTTACAAGAAATAAGTTATTACTGAGTTATTTATTTTCATTATCATTCCAACTAATACTCCCCAATGTTGTGTATTTAGCTCAAAAGCAAACAAATCGTGTGAGGCATTTGCTGTAGGCATATTGTTCCTTCAATTTATCAGACTACTCTGCTTTAGTTCATTAAATGGTATGACACTGCAGTTTTCCTGTCTAATAGACTTCACTACTCTGTGTAGAAAAGTCAAATAGAAAAGTTTGTTTAGGGGAAAAAGACTGCTTGGGTCGATTGAAATAATACAGTTTTGTCCAGGCACTAGAGCCTTTTCTGTACCTGCAAATATCTTTTAAGGAAACCTTCAGACATGATTACACATACATTAGTATTGTGAGATTTCTGCCTTTTCTTTTCTTCTTACTCCTTTACAATATATGCACACGAACAGAGCAAGTTAACAGCATTTAAAAAAGGTGAAAAAGAAGGTGAAACAGAGAAGGGTTGAAATCTCACCGTTTTCGGCCTGTGCCATTGCCTCCCTCAGTTTATTTGCCAGATCTTCATGTCCTGTTGTTTCTAAGACCTGTATGAAGTTTGGTAGAGCTTGGGGGCCTCTACTTTTTAATAGGCGCAGCATCTGGAATACTTGTTCACCTTTCGTAGAAGATGCCTTAAAGAAAAAAATTAGCTTCAAAGTAAAATGATTTTCTGATTTACTTGTGGAAAATTGAATATAATCTGTGATATTTTTACTATAAAAAAAAACCACCGCACTATTTATGAAGCATTGTTTTGGAATGATTTTAAATTAAAAGTAAATCATAACATTTTGAACACTAATACCCCGTTCACACTTCAATCTGAAATATCCGAATTTTTGCAATGCGAATTACGGGTGAAAAATCCGATTCGGTTGTCTGGCCACACACAGCAAAAGGAAACCGAATCGTGCACTGAAAATTCAGGTGGAGGTTCCGGTTTGAAGAATCGCGCATGCGCAGAATCCATGAAAACAAAAATATGGTGCCAATCATTGCTCTTCTCGCACTCAGTTTTTTTTTCTCGTGTATTTGTTTTTGGAACATCAAATTTAACCCAAAAGTCGTCAAAAGGAAGATTTAAGTAAGATCTGGAAGAATTTGACGGATACAAGAAGGAGAATAGCTGGGTTTCGATGGAGTGTGGGTCCACTGACCTGGCATGTTGCTTTTCTTTCCCGCGAGATTTGCTAGTGCATGCGCAGTGCGATCTAAACAGGTGGCCCTTCCGGTAAAGTAACCAAATCGCTGGAGAGAATCCAGCTCGCTAGTAGGATTTTTGGAAACCGGTTTACAAAAATCCTCATGCGTTCAGACTACCGCAATAATTCGAATCTTGACCTAATTCGCTATTTAACCGGTTAAATGACTGCAGTGTGAACGGGGTATAATTCTATTGTATGCAGTTTGAAAAAAAAACTGGAAAAAATTCTAGATAAAGTCCAATTTTTAACAGAAAAAAAGATCAAATGAATGGGAATGATAAGCTTATCTTAGAGTTAAGATAATATTTTCCAGAAAAAGAAAAAAAAAACATCATTGAACATTTCAGTATTTTACCTGAATTTGTTCCACCATTTCATCTGTAAACACCTCTTTTTCCAGTAACCCTGCATAAAACTCTGCCAGTGGAATAATACCTTGTTGTAGAAGTGTCAAGTGTTTTGTTATTATTTTCTGATGTCTCTTCTCCATGTTTGTGATGTCTTCAAACTTTGTCGCAGAATATTCTCAGCTTAGATACTGGAGTAGTTGTTATTTCTTCTGATTGCTGAGAAGTTCAAAAAGTTTATAACTATTTTGATGGCCTCAGCTACACCAAATATTGAAGCACACCAAACTTGGTAATCCTCTGAGGCTTTATGATATCCTAGTGAAGTGAAAATGTTGATTTTTTCACGTGTTTTTCATCTTGTGTCATATCTCCAGTAACTAAGGCAGAAAGTTCAGTAGAAGCAATCTCCTTGTACCAGACTGATACCTTAAACTAATGACAAATATCTGGACGATAAGATGTAGAGTTGTTCTGTACAGAAGCAGCTTGTGTAAAGTCCCCCTCTGCAGGGGTATTAATTACATAGTCTATCACTTCACCTGTCAATACAGGGCTTTGGGTATCTTCTGTTGGAGACCCAGGTGATTAGATTGCCTCTTGGACGTTGACTTACTTCTGAAAAACTGGTATTTGATCACTTGTACTTTTTACAACTCATGAAGAAGTTTGTTTAAGAATGCTCAGAAGCTTTACCAATGGTTTTATCGATTCATGTGGACCGGAGCGTTTGCTCAGGTATTCAGAGTCTGTCCATAGGGTTATAGTTTGCTTTGTTTACTTACCTATTGTACACTGAATAGGCAGCTCGGCAGTATTGATATCACATAACTTGTATGATGTCAGCAGTTTGCTCTGTGATTATAATGGATGGGAATTTCCAGAGTGGGCAATAGCTCTAGTTTTAATTATTTTGTTAAAAAAATTGCTGTATAAGGAATAATTTATTTGTGTGTGTGTGTGTGTGTGTGTAGGCATGTTTGTATTTTAAGGGTCCATACTCTTTTATAGTTGATATTTTAGCTACTTGAATTAAAACATTTTCATTCTATTTTCACCTTTTAGTTTGAGCATAGTTACTGTGAGTTCAGAAAATTTGATAAAATGAAATTCACAATACAAAAGCAATAAACAATAGATTAAAAAAAAGTATCACAGTTTTATTCATTTGAAAGACTAGTCAGTTATGTAATTTGATGTAAATAAAGTCTGTTTATGAATAAAGTAATTATTATACTTCTATTCCAGATCCTAGTTGCCTTAAAACACCTACATTCCAAGTCCATAGTCCACTGTGACCTGAAACCTGAGAATGTGCTCCTGTCTTCAGAGACACCATTCCCACAGGTAGGATAATGTTTTAAGACATTCTCTCACCAGGTTTAACTTGAGAGAGAGACAGAGAGAGAGATTTACCTAAAAAGACAGACACCCCTCCTCCCCAGCCCTGTGCATTATTTTCTCATCACAGAGTGCAGTTCCTTTCTACCATAGGTCTTCTAATGTTACTTGCTATAGAATTGCACATAAAACCCCTGTGAGATTTGAGATGGTGATGCTGTCTACTCTTATGTAACTATCTCACCCCCCTAGACAAACTGGCACAGCAGCAGAGGAGATGATGGCTGGGTTAATACCTACCCCCCCCCCCACACACACACAACACACACACACACACACACACACACACACACACACACACACACACACACACACACACACACACAGCAGTAGCAAAAGTCCCTCTCACTTACTGACCATAGCCACTATACAGTGACTGAGTAAAAATCAGGGTGAAGTCAGATTTTTGTCTTGGAGGTGTGGCTTAAGGACTGAATGTACCCAACATTAAAGATTGAAGCATTACTTAGTCTGCTGAACTTAGCTAGTGTATGTGTGTATGTCTGTGCTCGCAAGTGTGCGTCTGATTGTGTGTGTGGAAAAGGGAGACCTTGGGTTGACCCTTATTTTTATTTTCCTAGGTTAAGTTGTGTGACTTTGGATTTGCCCGCATTATTGGGGAGAAGTCTTTCCGGAGATCAGTGGTGGGAACTCCTGCCTACTTGGGTAAGTAATGTATATGATTGAAGCTCTCATTGGTTGATTTAAGATTCAAAGATAGTCTATAAATTAAAAAATAAAAAGATTAGTGTGCCAGAGTTTCAAAACTGACTTGGGTTAGATTCTAGATTTTTATTTTTCTATTCATGCCTGCTTGTCACTTGAGCTGGATTGTTATATGATATATGTTTGATGTACTGTTTTATATGTGTTTGATATATTGTTTTATATATGGTTGATATACTGTTTTTCCATTCAGCCCCTGAGGTCTTAAAAAGCAAGGGTTACAACCGATCACTTGACATGTGGTCAGTGGGAGTCATTATTTATGTCAGGTAATGTATACTATTGATTTATTGTGAAAAACTTTCAATCATCGAACCTTGGTTTGATATAACATTTCCTGTGGATCACAATGTTTTCATCTAATGTTTTCATAAACTTTTTTTTTTTAGTTTTTATATAAAGGTAAAAGAGGTCAGATATTTTAGATTTTAGTTGTTTTCTGTGGCAGCTCAATATTCCTGTTTAGTTTCCACTTTTCTAGATGTGATAACCTGAAAAGTATGATAAAACAGGATATTTATTTATCTATTTATTTATTTATTTATTTATTTATTTATTTATTTTTACAGTTTGAGTGGAACTTTCCCCTTCAATGAGGATGAAGAAATAAATGACCAGATTCAGAATGCAGCATTTATGTATCCACCTAACCCATGGAAAGAAATCTCAGAGGAGGGTAAGTTGAGGAGATGATAAGATGTTTTAATATTTTGTACACATTGTGGTGAATAGATAAAAAAATCTTTTAATGGGATTTTTATTATGTACAGACACAGATGNCCACACACACACACACACACACACACACACACACAAAGCAGTAGCAAAAGTCCCTCTCACTTACAATTAATAGTCCACTTAAAAGCAGTATTGACAGTTCTGAACTGACTAAAGCCACTACAGTATCTGTGAGTAAAAATCATTTTTGTCTTGGAGGTGTGGCTTAAGGACCCAACGTACCCAACATTAAAAATTGAAGCATTACTTAGTCTGCTAATCTTAGCTAGTGTATGTGTGTATGTCTGTGCTCGCAGGTGTACATGTGATTGTGTGTGGAAAAGGGAGACATTGGGTTGACCCTTAATTTTTATTTTCCTAGGTTAAGTTGTGTGACTTTGGATTTGCCCGCATTATTGGGGAGAAGTCTTTCCGCAGGTCTGTGGTGGGAACTCCTGCTTACTTGGGTAAGTAATGTATATGATTGAAGCTCTCATTGGTTGATTTAATATTCATAGATAGTCTATAAACTTTAAAAAATAAAAGATCAGTGTGCCTTATTTTGAGACATAGCCCGAGTTTCATAACTGACTTGGGTTAGATTCTTGATTTTTAATTTTCTGTTCATGCCTGCTTGTCACTGGATTTGGTTTTTAAGTTTAGTGTACAATTCACAAATGTCAGATGGGCAAACTGTTTTCTATATGTTTGCCACACCATTTTATACGTATTTGCTACACTGTTTGATATATGTTTGACATATTGTTTTATACATTGTTGCTAAACTGTTTTTCCATTCAGCCCCTGAGGTCTTAAAAAGCAAGGGTTACAACCGGTCACTTGACATGTGGTCAGTGGGAGTCATTATTTATGTCAGGTAATATATATTATTTATGTCAGGTTATATATATCAATCAGGGGCAGATTGAGGCTGTCTTCTGGGTCTTCTGGAAGACGGTCAGATTTTCATATTTACATTGACAGGTATCTAATTTTTTCTTTCGAAAGACAGTCAAAAATGGAGAATGGATCAACAAAGATAATTTGGAAGACTGTCACCTAGATCCACCCCTGTTATTGATTTAATCTGAAAAACTTTCAGTCATGGAACCTTGGCTTGATATAACATTTCCTGTGGATCACAAATTTATTTTCATCTTATGTTTTCATAAAAAGATTTTTTTTTTAGTCTTTACATAAAGGTAAAAATGGTCAGATATTTTAGTTGTTTTCTTTGGCAGTTCAATATTCCTGTTCAATTTCTACCTTTCTAGATGTGATAACCTAAAAAGTATATATTGTTATTGATAAAACATGATAATTATTTATTCATGTATTTATTTTTACAGTTTGAGTGGAACTTTTCCCTTCAATGAGGATGAAGAAATAAATGACCAGATTCAGAATGCAGCATTTATGTATCCACCTAACCCATGGAAAGAAATCTCAGAGGAGGGTAAGTTGAGACTATAAGGTGTTTTAATGTTTTGTACGCATTGTGGTGAATAGAAAGAAAAAAATCTAATGAGATTATTTTAAGTTAATTCATATTTTTGTAATATGCAGCATTTTAGCTCAGTGTTTATTGAATAAGTGTAAGGCAATTGTCTTAAACATCACAACAAAAAGGTGTGAAACATGATTTTTATCTCGTTATCATTCTATGCAGCTATCTGTCTTGCTTGAAAATAATTGGTAAAGGGGACTTCCACAATTATTATATTTTAAAAATGTTTTAATCCAATAAAAATGGATGTCAGCATCTATGAAAGAAAAGATTTTAACTGCCTCAGTGAGGAGAGATTGTCTGAGGTCCAATGCAAAATTTTATAGCTGAAATGTTTATTGATTAAATGTAAGGCCATTTTTGTCATAAACATGGATGTGAACAAAAAGGCTGTAAAACAAGATTCTGTATTATTCTACGCTGGTATCTTTCTTGCTTGAAAATAATTGGTAATGGGCACTTCTGTAATAAGTATATTTTAATTTTGTTATAATTCATTTAGAGTAGAAATCTAAGCAACAATGAAATAATAGATTCTAACTTATTAAACTTAACCTAACCTGAGTGAGGAGAGATTATCTGAGATCTAATACAGAATTTTTACTTAGAATTATGATAGTGCTGATCTTTAACAATGGTACATGTTATTCTGGAAGTATATGCCATCTATGATATTATAGCCACGCCCACAGTAGACAGTTTCAGTAGGTGGTATCCAGTTTAGTTATTAAACATTTAAGTTATACATGGGGTCCCTTCTATTAACATTCCATCCCCTCCTTCACTTAATTACTCAAATATGGACCAAGCGTGACACTATGGGAGGTCTTAGTACTAGTATTGGAGTAAAGTCCCACATAACCCTGGGTTTTGGATTTCTTCCAGCAATAGATCTGATACAAGGTTTGTTGTGTGTGGACAAGCAAAGGCGGTTGACTCCCCAACAAGCAGAGGACCATGTTTGGATAGGAGAGGTGCTTTATGTCTCTCATCTTCATCTTCATCTGTGGCTGCTTTGCTTGGGCATTCACCTTTTTTTGTTCGCAGGCTGCGGCCTGCAGGTCTCTCAACATGCGCAACAGGAATTCAGGTTTTCATTCTGCAGAAATGGACAAGAGAAATGTCTGATATATTTCTGTGAGGTTTTGGCCATCGAGTAGTGAACATTTCTATATAGTAGGATGTGGAGTTTTTTACATTCGTGGAAGGAATGGTGGCCGGGACATTTTATTTCTGTATTTTATTTATTTTCTGTTGTGCAATACTAATCCTAAGCTAAAATGGTTCATGTGGAAATTTGTGGATCATTTTCACTTGTCCTTTTACCCCATGGAAGATGATATTAGTTGAATATTAAACACTGGGAATATAAATTTTGATCACTCAGCTTATACTTTATGTTGGTCATGTTCCACACATTCCATGGAGTGAGATAGTGATAATGATCCCCAACAGATCTACCTGCATTCATTTCTCCTTATTTTTCATTTCCAGCATTTAACTTGCCTAGCCTGGTGACAGGTGCTTGTACCTGATCTTCCTCTCCTCCAAAAATTGATCATGATCCTTGATTCTAACCATTTTCTTATATAATTGCTCACCTGGAATGATGTCAGTAATCTTCTCTCTATCATTATTTCAGCCATAGATCTCATCAATAATTTGCTACAGGTGAAAATGCGCAAACGATTCATGGTGGACAAATCTTTAGCGCATGTTTGGCTTCAGGTATATTTTGAGTTCACAGTTTTTGAATGCTAAACCACAATGCAAATGTTAAAGCACTTTATTTCTTCACAAATATTCATTTTTTGGCCTAGATTTTGAGTTTTAGTAGCCAATTAAGACTCCTAGCACAGTCAAATGAAAGATCTTTTAAGATTTTTTTTATTAAAATTACGTTATTTGTGCTTTTTTAGAGTCATTTGAAATTCATGCTCATTCTCTTTTGCTCCAGTGTTCTGAACTTTACTTGGACTTTTTAACATATTACTTTTAAATGTGATGAAACCTCTTTGATAGAATTGTGATACTTCTACTGGTGGTTTATGATAGGATAAGTATTAACAAACATTACCAGGTAAAAGAAATCGAAAGAATTAGAAATGATCTCTAAGTTTAATATTGGTACATTACACTTTTAACTTGAGATATCCTATCGTAAACCACCACGTTTGTTCTGGAACTCGCTGTCGTGGGGATTGCTAACAAATCTCAAAGAAATACTTCTAGTTTTTCTGTGAATTATAAGCCTTATGATACCAGAGCATTTGCACATGATTGCTAGTTTTGAACCTCGAAACAAATACCAGATCATGGTGTTGATTTGTTTTAGTATTTACTAGTATTTGTTTCATTGCGAAATGCTTTTTTTTTTTTTTGCTTGTTTGCTAGCTACCTGAGGCTAAAGTCACTTTATTGCACTTGTCTCTTTGTTATTGTAATGGAATGTATATTTTACAATTACATTTATCATGAATTTAAAGAGGGAATAATGTCATTAGACCAAGAGCTTTTTAAATAGATTTTGCAAAATAATGATAGTATGCCTCCTGACTTGTTACAAGTAGAATGTAGTGCTTTGTTCTGGGAAATTCTTTTAATGTGTTAAAAAATCCACTTTGCATTGTTTTATAAGAAAGAAAGTATTATTTGTGGTGCAGCTTTGTGTAGTCTTGCATGTCAGTCTAAATTTGCTTTTCTATACAAATAATTTGGGTTGAAATGTGTAACATTCAGGAAGGATTTCTTTCTTACCAAAGAAAATGTAGTTCTAAAATATCTTTATAGTGTTATGTTGATTTCCTGTACCACATCATTCCAATCGTCTAATTTTACTTGTATGCTGTGTTTCAGGATTACCAAACGTGGTGCGATCTACGCAAGATGGAGAAGTATGTTGGAAGGCGCTATCTGTCGCACGAGTCAGATGATGCCCGATGGGAACAGTATCGTAAAGACAAAAACTTGGATACCTGGGAAACATTAGGACACACAGGTGTGGATATGAGTTTTCATAATAGAACACCCACAGCGCCAAGCCGCAGTCGCAATAATGGCTGTGGTATTATAGAGGAACAAGTTAGTGTGATTTGACCGAGTCGTCCATGTTCTCCTGTCTGTTGACTGGCCCCGCTGTCTGCATGTGAACAGACTCTGTTGTAAAGAGCACCATACTTTTCTTCTTTCACACCATCTTGCATGGGAGTATTCAGAATGATTTTCACATTCTTCTCAAATATTTGAAAAATTTCAGGACGATGAATTTTCTTATTAAGGGTGATTAACACAAAGCGATAATTTAGTAGTAGTGATATAAAGCAGTTGTTAATCCTGTATTTGTTAATAAGATGTAAGAAAGGCATTTTTAGATATATGATTATATATATGATATATAACATGCATGAGAATAGCTGTTTTGTCTACTTGCCATGAGATGGCACCAGATTATAATCAAGACAGGCCAACAGTGGCACAAAAAAAAAAGCAGCAGTCTTTTAACTAATAGTTTGGTAGCAAAGAGGATAAGGTGAGGAAGGGTTAGTATTTGATAATTGCATTTGCTGTATAATTAAGTGAATGGTGGATTCAGAATTCTAATTTTTGATGCACTTAGATGAAGTTAACATTAGTTAGGTTCAAGCATCATAGTGTTCTTTTTATCCTTTACATCAATTGCTATTGAAACAAAGTCCCCATTTTATCACTTACATTTATATATATATGTGTGTGTGTCTGTGTGTGTGTCCTTTTTCATACTTTACCATGATTTGGTAAGTGTGCTACTTGCTTATCTTTTTATTGGCCTCAGTTGTACTTTTTTGTGCAATATCTTTGTTGCTTGATTATCTGCTAAATATAAAATGTTTAAAATTATACTAAAATCTGTTTAAAGGAAACATTTTTACATTATTTACGCAAGCATTATGAAATTCAAACAGTAGGCCACAAATAGTAGTTTGACAAAATTACTTAGCAATTCAAATTTTTTAATAAAATGCCTTCTAAGGTTAGTTGATGGAATAAGGGAAATTTGATTTTCAAAGATGCAAACATTACTCTGCCATTTCTCAGGTCTTAAGTTTCAGGCCTCTAGTCAAAATGAAGTTAGGTTAAGTAAAACCATGATGTGAACTTTTGAAAAGCAAAACTGTCCAGTGTAAGCTGAATTATAACCCCCAGTCTCAATGATCAATACCTGTCTAGATATGATTTCCCTAGCCAAATTATTTACTAATTAAATATATAATATATGGCATATTTTCACTTCCTCTTAAAATGTGTTTGCTTACGAGCCATGGTTGAATTATGAGTGCATAACATTTTCTTTGATGACTTAAAAAATAATAATCTTTAGAGTGAAAAGAAAATTGTTTTGATGATGTATCTTTTTATACGAGTCAGTTAGTACTGAATATGAAACCCAGAAATGAAATGTTACTTGGTAAAGTTGAGAAAAACATGTTCAAAAAAAATTGTCATTCCATACTGATGACATGGAAAGGGATGTGACACATTATAATTAGCTCACCATATTTTGGTGAGCTTCATATGAAAGCCAATAGCCATGTATGTAATTCCCTTCCACATCTTTGGCAATTTTATCTTTTGAAAAAAGAAAAAGAATAACACCTTTAACACATATCTCATATAAATTATATATTACAGAAAGTAATTAATTGCTCAATAAAGTACTAATTTTTGATGGAAGATGGAAATCTAACAAGTATAATGGGTTTAAAACAGAAAACTAGATATCAAAAGTTAATATGATATTAATTTCCTGAAGGTGCTTATTTGTGTTACATTATACTTTGTCAGTGTCTTTTTTTATTTTTTATTTATTGTTTTTTTAGAGAATGGGGTTGAAGTATTTGAGTACACAGCAACTTGCACAAGTAGATATATTTATTTTAGAGTACACCTCAGGTAAATTTATTTTTAAAAATATGTTCGCACTGATCCATTTTTCCCCTAGAATTTCGAGAATTTAATATATCCTGTTTATGACACAGCTTATAATCCAGTATAATTAAATGAAGACAAATGAGAGTAAGAGATAGTGGTAAAATTCACATCAGAAATTTTCATAAAAAGGTAGGAAGTTTGTAGTAATATCTTCATTTTTGTTTCCCCACAAAGTGGGAGGCTTATAGCATTGTTCCTATATGTCCCTACATCACAAAAGTCTTTGCCAAGTCAACTTGAAAGAAGGAGAAAGTTTGTGTGATTTGGTAATGTGATCAAGTAGACTAGTATGTCATGGAAGCTCTCTCTAAGGTGCAAACCATTGGGGCATTATTAAGTAAAAGATGAGATGGAAACTGTCTGTACAGAAAATTTTTACTTTTGGGTATGGTTTTTCAGCTTTGACTGCTTTTTGCTAGAAGTTGATTTAAATTATAGAATTGTTCTTGTCAGGGAGTCTCTTGTTGTGGTGTTTTTTCCCCCTGAAGAGAAAATCACAGCTTGTGTACCTGTGTGAAGAGACAACCATTATGCATCTACATATGACTCTAGATTCATTGTTTGATATTGAAACCACATTATCATGATCATATTTCCAGAATTTTGTATTCTCGGTGTTTTAGAATATCATTTGGAACTTTTTTGGATTGAGAGTAGCAATTTTCATATGCTGTTTTCATCAATTTTGGAGAAGTAATAGGATACTTGAATAGAATTTTATTATCAAAGTGAGGAAATATAATCCTCATAAGAGCTGTCACTACAAGTTAAGATCTCTTTTTGTGCACTTACTCACCATTATTGAGTCTTGGCTTGAAATAGGATAAAGATTATTTTTTATCTCAAGTTGGATGAATATTGAAGTATTTTGTCTAACATCCTGAAAATGTATTCAATTTTCTAGGGTTGCATTAATGTTCCTGTTCATGAACTCACAGATGAATAACAAGCCATGTTCAGCAGATTTTAAAGATTTTATTTCTTTTTTGAATTATAGATAGATTGAAATGTGCAATTGAAATTAAAATGTATAATTATTATGCCATAAAGATAGGTATTTAGAACTGTTATAACATTTATGTCTTTGAATGATGATTAGAAGTGTACCTTGATATGTTAGATGAGGTCCCTCCATATTAGAATCAAACAGCAAACCTCACACTTGACAATTAAGTTGCACAAATTGTTAAATGACGTGATATCTTCCACTACCTTCAATTTCTTCCACTAAATTTTTTCTTCCACTACTTTTCATTTTCTAAATATAACAGACAAAACAAAAGAAGATCTCAAGTAGGTATCTGACAGTTAAAATTGAGTATTGAAAAACGATTTCCAATGACTTTCTTTTGTAAGCTTTGTATAATTGTGAAAAGGGCTTACAGTATTTTCTAGTGTCTGGTTTGTTGCTTAGGGAAAATGCACTGAAATGTGATGAATATTGTATAGTTCCCTTTTTCATTGCCACATGTATCATGTGCACTGTGTCAACTTACAATAAAATATGGAAGCTTTCAGTGGCTGGATAGCTGTAAAATGGCCTTTTTGATACCTTGCCATCAGCAAGTTAATAAACTTATTTGACTTCATTGTTGCGTTTTAGCATGTTAATGGACATATTTTATGTACTTAATCATTTGCACCTCTTCTATTCTTTTTGCCGTGCAGTGAGCTGAAAATGCCACAACCCCCTCCAGCAATTGAGGAAAACAAAACAAATCGGGAATTGCTCTCCTTTTAACAACCCTTACTCCAGATTTCAGAACTTTTCCCTTTCACACAAAATTAAAAGTGGCTCTGCTTATTGCTTTGCGTAGATATTTCATTCAATATTGCATAGTGTGGCAATAGTGCTCACACATTTTAGTAATTTATCTCTATACTATTCATTGGTCAAACTATAAAAAAGATCTAATTTTCAAAAAAATGAATAAAAGACACTTGTTTTCCTTTGCTTTTAGTTCACAGTTTTAAATAGAAATACATTTTCAATTTTTATGAAAAAGACAAAAAAAAAAAAAAAGCCACTATCCAAGTCTATCTTATATATCTTTGGCTTCTCTACGTATTTCATTCAGGCTTAATGGGCAAAGGAAGATGAGAAAAAAACGCAAAGCAAATTTGTAGCTCTCTTTACCATCTTTAGGACAATACTGATTATGCTAGTTCTTACCCAGTGGCAATGGCGTAACTGTAGCCTTCTCTACATGTATATGCTATTTTGTTACTTGTTCCTGATGCACATCTACCTATTGCGCTGAACTCTTCTATGTTGTCAAGTGGAATATACAAACTATCAATGGTGAGTATTTCTGGATTGATTTTCACATACTTGAAAGAAGTTTTTAGGTATTAAAGACAAAAAAAAATTGTGTCCCCAGTTAAGTTGACATGTTAACATCTTTTGCCATATATGTGCCTATTTATGATTAGCTCACAACAAATCTAATCTCTCTGTTGTCTCAAACACTTCAGTTGTATCCAGTTATGTGAGTTAAATCAGGTAGGTAGTGTCAGGTGAGTTGATCATTGAGGGCCTGCTGATATGGATAACATTGACCACAGACCATGCCAAACATGCTGGGAAATGCATGAGGCAAACTTCTTGGGTCTTCATCCATGTGGAAGTGTACTGCAGCTATCATCATTGATCTACCTGCTTTAAGTCTTTCTGAACATGTTTTCTTCACTAGGTGAAACAAGTAGATGCTTGGTTTTAAGCGCTGCCAGACTTAAAATAAGAAGCCTCATTGTGGCTTAGTCTCTATAATTTACATATAATTTGCATATAATTTATCTTTTTATTATATTTGTAGAACGGCGTTAGAAATATGCCAGGATGAAGATGAGGGATCTGAAACTAGGGCACTTTCACAGATCTGCAAGATTTACCCATATTGACATTTGCCCTGATAGAAAAAAAAAAAATTGCAATGGTATTTTGATATGCCAAATACAGGATGATATCAACAGGAAGTGCAGTTTTAGTGTCAAAAACTGAAATTTGTGATCTTTGATCATTCTATGACTTTGAAAATTATGCCATGTTTGAATCATGTTAATTTCAGTAGTTGTAAAATAGATATAAATTTGAGGCTTATAATTGATGTCCTGATGTGGTTATGTATTTGCATTTATACATCCAATATTGTACTAAATATCTATAAAATCAAGGAGGGTTAAGTCCCAAACTGAAAACACATTGCACCCATTTAGACATGATCTTGTGTACTCAAAGTGCTTCAAGTTTTTGACTTTATCCCCCTTGCAAATGTGTAAATAAGATAAAGTTGATATTGGACTGAGTGGGTAAGTATCCAAACCTTGATCAAAACCAGTCATGGATGGTTTTGCACCAGTTAGACTGGGTTCCCATACCTAGATCAATCTAACAGGATTGATCCATCTCCAAGGGGTTTAGTGCTAAATTGCTTTCGGCTTTAGTGGCTTTAGTCTGGCGTGCCTACTGAAGCTGCTAAAAGATAATTAATTACCCCTAGCAGCTTCATCTAAGCCACTAATTTAGCAAGAATCCCCTTGGAGATAGATTGATCCATAGTTAGTACAGTAGGGTCTGGGAATGGTCCCGAATTTACTAGGTCTAGGCATTATAGATTACACCAATAATTGTCTCTCTGAAAGCAGTTACTACAAACATAGGTTGAAAATGGGGCAAGAATTTATCACACTATTCCTTGGTGAATATCAGGAGTTGACCAAATTTTCACTTTCCGGTAGAATTTTTTTGTATTGTTTAATACTCACCTCTTTACATGGTAATTTTGGTGAACAGTTTAAGTTTCTGTGGAAAATGGTGGATAATTTTTTATGCACCAGTTTCTGTTTTTGTTTTGTCAAGCTGATATAATTTTCTTGTTGAAATAGGACTAAGGCTGTCAAGTTTAATTTCACAGATATGCTTATTCAGAAAAAGGACAATTTTAACTGTTTTGTGTATACTTACTTATGTAAAGCAGACTTTAATTTGCTTAATTTTATGATTATCATTCATTATGTTGTGAAAAAACAGTAGTTCTTAATTTTAGTTACAAGATAGATAAAAGTAGTCTTAATTGTCACATCTTTTATAAAAAAATTGTCTGTAACACAAAGCACTTGGTCATTCTCTTTCATGTCTGTATCGCTACCTCAACATTTTTTGTTTAGATTAATCTGGCTTCAGTTTGTTAGCTATAATCTTCAATGGTAAATGTTATTAAGAGCAAGAAATTTCAGTCAAGACAGCAGTGATTAAATCACTTAATGTAGTAAAGGGAAAAACAATATGCAAACATCAAGCTCACCAAAATGAGAAAAATCCAAATCCAGATCAGTGATTCAGTATAAAAAAACTTAAAAGAAACAAGTTATTTGGTTGTATTCAAGCAACAACTGTGATTAGAAGCATAGGTGATATTGCATGTACAAGTTGTTGAATTTTCCACACACTTGTAATAGTTAACATTTCGTGTATGTATTTCCATATTTTCTCTCTCCAAGATAATTCTTCATGCTACGACGGAAAAACCTTGAAGGCACTTGTATGAAGCTGATGGTATGTATAATGCAAGTAATATAGGTTGCCTTGATGGTCCCCTTGAGCTGAGGGAAAAGAAATGGTCGCAGGGAAGGAAATCGGGTGAATAAGAACCCTATCATACTATAGCAACTTCCTCATTCACCCAACCTTCCTCCTTTGTCTTTTGACCCCCCCTCCTCAAGTGGTCATCAAGGTATCCCATTTTGAAAGCCTGGTTGGCGTGAAGAGGGCTGTAACAGGGGCATCTCACAGGAACCCTTCCAGCAGTGCAGAGAAGCATAGCAGAGAAAGATGGAACGGTGAATTTGACATAATGTGGGTTTACTTTCAAAATGAGACCATGTAATTGTAGTATATTCTTTGGAACATGAAATAAATTGTTTGCGATGCCAGTCCATTTGCTCGTTTAGACATGTCATACCTAGGTAACCATCAATGTTTGTTGCAGACAGTCACTAGGCAAATAATGAAAGTAAAAAGAAGCAGTTTAAAACGCCAAAACTATTTATTCTGATATCTTTACAAAAATGTAAGTCCAAAGCCTTGGTTAAATTTACTGTTAAATTTACAGCTTTCATTCTTATTCTATTCCAAAGGAATAATAATACACAATTATTTGCTGCCATAAGAAATCTTATAAAAATATGATTGATATTACTTTGGTATTCATGGTTAGCAATGCAACTAAAAATCTGCACCTTTCAAGGCTCTAAACTAAATGCTAAACATTCTAATAGCTTGTTGATGCATGTTGATACTGGCTTCTAAATGCTAAGAAAAACCTATTATATATGAAAAAAAATCATAACAGTAGCTATGGTAATATTGATAGAGGAAAGCCACATGGACATAGCTTCAAAACATTTTAGCTATCTAAATAAAACATTACAAACACACACACAAACTTTTTCAGTCATGGCAGAATTAAAAAAATAATAATAACATGAAGAATACACACAAAGTACATACATATATGAGAAAAGATCCCTGAATTGACATGGTTATAAATTTTGATCCCTTCCACTGAATGGCACTTCCAGGTCCAGTAATGACAAATACAATTCCCTATATAGCCTAAAATGACCATATATAATATGTATTAATATGTAACTGACAGCATTCACTCAGGTGAACGGTTCACCTCAGTAGAAAAAACAACAACAAAAAACTGATGATAAAAGTAACCTATTCATTTAAAAAACATTACTTTTTCTGAATGTCTCTAAAATCAGGAAGATCCCCAAGCAAAGATGAGCACAGAAAGGCTGAACATGACACTGTCATGCAAACTGAGGCTGGGTAAGCAGATGTTTACAAAAGAAAAAGTATTCTTCTCAACTTTAACTCATGAACTCCCAGTCTACTTCCAATTCCTAGATATCAGTAAATTGTAACCTTAAGTAAATAACTCTTTCAAAATGGATAAATACAAGAAACTATCTTCAAATTAGTCTATCCACAAGACTCATCAAAGAATTCAATATAGCATCATTTTTCTCTTCTTTTTGGAACGTGAGTAATGTACAGATACCAGACAACAAACAACAACCATTAACAACTTAGTGGAAATTCACGTAAAAAAGTAAGTATAAAATAACCTGGGACATCTTTTTAAAAATCAGGAAACTCAAGGATTTAAACATTCTAACATTGCAGTAGAGATTATGAAAAGGATTCATAAAAAACTTAACACTTATCCACAATTTCATCAGAAGCTATGAACAGCATACAGGTACAAAATATGTACAATTTTTACATATATTACAGGGATTCGACTATGGATTCCAAGTTCTTAACAATTTTACTATTTGTCATGTCGCTCTTTCTTTATTTGTCCTCCATAATGGGAAACCCAGCAGGTGAGTTACGAGGTCACTTTGTCCTACAGGTCGTCCATGGAGAATTTGGGCGGTGGCATTCGTGAATATTTGAGTCTAATGAGGTCGGCTACTTCATCTATTATGCTCAAAGACTGAAAGAAATCAAACGCATTGAAAAATTTTCAATTGAGGACACAAACGTATACCTTGTTACAATCAAGTAAATTTCTCATATTTTTAGACACAGTGAAAAATTATCTTAAATGTAGGAAAATAAAACTTGCTGAAAACAAAATGATCCTACCATCCGTGCCTGGTAATCTTTGGTCCTATAATTTATCTTGGAGATGCAATGAATTACAATCAGTTATCTAGACAAGAGTTGGTATTGAACCAATTACTATTCAAACAATTAAAATGATAAATAATATAATAATGTTTAGACTGACATAATGGACACCAGGAGTACTCGATGGTTAAAGAGCAGGTATATCAGTGGTTTTATTCAACTATGATGCAATGATTGTAATTATCAACCCCTTCGGGTTGCAAGTTTGGTAGTAATAATAATAATAATAATAATATCAGTGCCCTACCTTGTCCAGCATCTCCTTGGTGTGGGCAGCTGACAGACAGAACCTGGCCCTGGACTCTATGATAGGAGTGGCAGGGAAGCCTACTACAACTGTGCCTAACCCACGCTTCAGTGTCTCACGACCAAATCCTCTGAAAATGAATAGAATATTTTCCATCATGTGTGTACTTCCAATATAATACTTAACCAGAACTGAGGCAAACTTAACTGTATTACTTGGAGAACCTCGTTACATAAATAATGCATCCATCCTGATGAATATATAATATACAATAAGCTTTATTCAAGTCAGCTGGACAGACTTCTCAAGTAAATTGAAAAAAATAAAATGCACATAAATAGCTCCTACAATTCTACAATATTTGCAGTAATGACAGAAAGGAAATAAGCACTTTTGTGGCCACAGATGCATTTGCAGGTGTAAAACTGTTACTGCAATAAAACAAAGAGCTAAAACATGTTTCCCCTGACAAGCCATTAGCACTTACGCGATCTTGGCGGGCAGGAATAGCAGCATTGGGACCACGGGAGAATCCTTGTTGCCATATACAATCAATCCTTTGTCTTGCAACTTCTGGCGGAAATAACGGGTATTCCATGCAAGCTGTTTAATTCTTTTTTGCCCTAAAATGTAATATGTCAAGTTAGATATATCAATGTGAACAATATATCCTAAGAGATTTGTTGGCAGTTAGTTACAATGGTGCCTTTAATAACTTTTAACAGTATCTTATACCTTAGTCCAAAACAGAGGATTAGACAAGCTCTCTATTACTACATACAATATATTCCTTTGTGATCTGACAGTCAAAATTTCTCTGGTAACCCGTTTGTTGCTTTTAAGCCACACAATTAGTACCTTAATCTCTGACACTCTTCTCCCATGATAATCTTCCCATTAAGTAAATGTGATCTATACTGTTCGATACACTGTATTGTAAATTGTGCCATAAAGTTACTGTGTTGAGTTATGAAAGCTATCTTTACCCCGCGAATGCTATGCTATCTTAAAGATGCATACAAAGTCAATTTTTTGTCACAAAAACCAACGAAATGCCAGCATATAGTTTCAAGTAGTATAACTAAGAGAATTACCAAAAGGCATTGTTTAATTTTACCCGAAAATGATGTTTGAACGGATTTTTATGCTAGCATTCTATGCTGTATGTGTCAGAAAAGTAGGTCACGAAAGTAGGTTAAATTTCCGACCAAAAATTTAAAGAAAGGAGCAGTCTAAAGCTCTCTTATGGCTGATCCTTGTTCCTTGGCATGTCGAATTTATTTGAGTCGTATAAGAAACTAGTATAAGTGGTTTACATGTGTTACTGGGAATCCACGCTCCACCGATGCTCGGTTCGTATGTACCTTTAAACAAGTCACTAAATTAATTACAGGCAAGTGATAACCTGTGTATATTGTGTTGTGTATATTTTGTTTTGTGCCCCACTGTATTGTGTTGTACCTTCATCAGTGCCATCCTCCCCCATGATAATCTTCATGGAAGTAATCACCTGCTGTGTGACGGGCGCAGACATACTGGTTGCATAGATTGCACTGTGGGAATGGACGCGCAAGTAATCTATCAGCCTCTGGAATGATTACACGGACAACATCAGCCTATGTACATTTTCCACTGTGTCACATATGTATAAACTACCAAATAAATTACCATATATTTTCTAAACATAAGTTCATAGGTATCAAATTCTTTAAAAACCCTCCATCCCATTCACCCTGTCCCATACATATAGCTAACATTAACCAGACTGGTAGTACTTCTATCTG